TCTTGGGCCGGTTTCGGACTCGTTTGGAGGCCTCTTGAGCCGTCTGGCATCGGTCTTGTGAGCGTCTTCGGCCGTCTTGGCACGTCGGAACAGTGAACATGCAAAGAAGCAATAAATTTAGAAAAACCATAGGAAATCACTGATTTTCATCTCTTGGGAGCTTCTTCGGAGGACTCTGGGAGGCTCTTGGGACCCTCTTGGGCCTTCGTAGGAGCCTCGAGAAAGCCTTTGGGGAGGTCCAAGGAGCCTCGCGTGTCCTCTCACCTTCCTCTTTGGACGGAGAGCGCTAATTTTCGCGCTCGGAGGCTGCGATCCTCGTGAGGGGTCCCGTTTCCGGAAGTCCCGGTTGGGGAGGATCCTATTTCGGGGGGGGGTCCCACCCCCCAGGATTATAAAGGCCTTCTTCGGAGAACTCGTGGAGGTTCTTAGAGGCCTTGTGGGGCGTCGTGGGGGAACTTCGTGAATGCTTCTTGGCGGCTCTTGGGCGCCTCGTGGCACGTCTGGGGAGCCGTTGAGGAGTCTTGGAGCTTCGTGTGGGCGTCTGGGTGCAGAGTCCTTGAAATCATAAGCCTTTTGCGCGCCTGGTGGCCCTTCTTGTGGCCTCCTGGAAGGGGCTTGGGGCCTCGCGTGGCCGTGTGGGAGCCGAGCGCGTTGCAATTGTATGTTTTTTCCCTTTTAAGCTCTGTCTGAAGCTTGTCGTGGGGCTCTCTGGGGCCGTCTTGGGCACGGCTTGGGCCGTCTGGAGGCTCTGTTGGGCCGGTTGTGGACTCGCTTGGAGGCTGCTTGGGCCCTCTGGGATTGGTCTTGTGGGCGTCTTCGGCCGTCTTGGCACGTCGGAACAGTGAACATGCAACGAAGCCAAAATCTTAGGAAAGCCATAGGAAATTAATGATTTTGATCTCTTGGGGCCCTCTTCAGAGAACTCTGCGAGGTTCGTGGGGCCTTCTCAAGCTGTCGGGGGAACCTTTAAGAAGCTTTGAAGGCAACCCGAGGACCCTCGCGTACCCTCGTAGGTGCCTCTTCGGACGAAGATCGCTCAGTTTCGCGCTGGAAGGCTACGATCCTCGTGAGGGGTGCCGTTTCTGAAGGCCGTCTTGGGGCTCTCTGGGGCCGTCTGGGGCACCCCTTGGGCCGTGTCGGGGCTGTCTTGGGCCGGTTTCGGACTCGCTTGGAGGCCTCGTGAGCGGTCTGGCATCGGTCTTGTGGGCGTCTTCGGCCGTCTTGGCACGTCGGAACAGTGAACATGCAAAGAAGCAATAAACTTAGAAAAACCATAGGAAATCACTGATTTTCATCTCTCGGGGGCTTCTTCGGAGGACTCTGGAAGGCTCTTGGGACCCTCTTGGGCCTTCGTAGGAGCCTCGAGAAAGCCTCTCGGGAGGTCCAAGGAGCCTCGCGTGTCCTCTCACCTTCCTCTTTGGACGGAGAGCGCTAATTTTCGCGCTCGGAGGCTGCGATCCTCGTGAGGGGTCCCGTTTCCGGAAGTCCCGGTTGGGGAGGATCCTATTTCGGGGGGGGGGGTCCCACCCCCCAGGATTATAAAAATATAGAAAAGGGAATATATATATATATTTTTATATATATATATATGTGATGTGTTGGTTTATGTATGCATAATATATAGTATATATATGTAAGCATGAATATACATATATATATATATATATATATATATACGTATAATGGGTAGGGGGTCCCGGGCCCTCCGAAGTGCACTGATTTTTCGTCTGGCCGTTTCGGGCCCAGCGGGGGGCGCCAACAAACGTCAAAAAGGGCCGAGAGACGTCCAAGATGGCGCCTTGATGGCCCACGACCGGTCCGAGAGAGCCCAAGACCGCACAAGAGCGTTCCAAAATTGGTCCAACATGGTTTTGAAGACAGCCCAAGAGAGCTTCAAGATGGCCAAGATGCCCTCAAAAGTGCTCCCACGAGGCACTCAGGAGGCGAAGCAAGTAGGTTTCCTCAATGGTTTTGAAGGTTGTTCGTGTTCTCGCTGTTTCGTGCTTCCAACGGTTCAAGACAGCCCATGAGGCCCCAGAAACCAGCTCAAGACGGCCCAAGAGGCACCCAAAGAGGGCGCCACGACGGCGCAATAGAGAGAGCCCCCAAGATGGCCCAAAAAGTGCCCCAAGGCGGCCCTAGAGGCGCCCAAGATCGCTTCAAGAGGGCCCCAAGAGGGGCTCAAGAGGGGGAACACGAACCGACAATTCGAGCCTCCCGCCCCAGTAGGCCTCCAGGAGGCCCCAAGAGACCCTACCGGAGCCCAAGAGGCCCCCTAGAGGCCTCCTAGAGGCTCCACGAGGCCCCACAGGAGCCCCCAAAGACGCCCCACGAGCATCCGTAGCCATTTTGGCTCAAGGTGGATCTGACTGCAGCGCGCAAGCGCTCATCATAGTTGCCCATCACCATGCGGACCCCGCGACCAGACCCCTGGGGCCCGAGGCTGCCCACTTTTCCCAAACTCCCCCCTCCCCCCGCGGTGCCCACTGTGTCCCTCGGGGTCCTTCGGGGGGCTTTCGGAGGGCCCGAAGGCGCTCCCCAGACGGTCCAGGAGGCTTCCGAGACGGTCCAAGAGTTCGTCAAGACGCCCATGATGGCTTCAAGACGGCCCGAGAGGCCCCCCAAGCGCTTGAAGAGGGCTTCAAGAGGACACTTATGAGGGCCGCAAGGAACACACATCGCCCTAATTCCTTTGGGAAACGTCTATTTTGGGCATATGCGCTTTGTATTAATAGCGTCCACGACGGCCTCAGAGAACCCCAAGAGCGCCGCAAGACATCCCAACAAGGCCTCCAAGACGGTCCAAGAAGCTCCCAGGATCGCCCCAAAACGTCCCACAGAGCCCTCCAAGACGACCTCCGTAGGCGCCTGTGGATCCCAGAGCGCTCTGAGACAGTCCAAGAGGCCCACAAGACACCTCACTCTGCACCCCTCCCCGCTCCTCCCAGATTCCTCCCCATCCCTCCCCGCTCCAGGCAAGTGTGCGCGAGGCGGTTGTATCTCTGGCCGCGAGATCCTGCCAGTGTATACCTACATGTACGACCACCCTTCGGGTGATAAAGAGGTTGTGCGTGTGGTGGTGGGGGTGAGGAAGGGGAACCAACTGGAGCTACAACATAGCATTGCATCGCACAGCAGAGCATAGCAACTGCTCCTCTGCCGCGTGGAATGTGATTCCATTGGTCCGCCAAAAAGGGTGTGGAAAGGAAAGGGATTGAGAGGGTTTGCTGAGAGGAGAATGCAGGATTAAGGTCGACTGGGGCTCATGGCGTGCATCCGTGGGGGCATAGAGGGATGGTGCGGTTTGCTGATTGATCATGATTGATAGACGTCTTTCTGCTCTCCGATGCTGCGAACCCTAGACCGTCGCCGCATCTTGCTAGAACCAAAGCGCGCGCGCAGCGCGCGCGTGGTTCTAGTATGGGAAAATCTGGGAAGCGGGGGGGAAGACAGAAACCCCGAAAATATGGGAAAAGATGGGGAATCCTTTTATTTGTGTGTATTTATTTGTGTGTCCTGGGACCCCATTCACCGACCCAGGCCGCAGGGAACACGGGCCTCGGATGGCCGCGCCCGGCCGCCTCCGCGGGCGAGCGGGCGCAGGGCGACGGCGCCGCCGGGGACGAAGAGATTTCCAGCCTCGAACGTATCCCTATCCCTAAGATTGACACGCCAAAAGGCGGTGACAATCTTAGGGATCCGCCCTCAAAAAATGAGGGACTCCCTAAAGAGAAACGGGTTCCGAGGCTCCGGCCTTCACTTTTCACGGTGCTGCGGTCTGTGTTGCGTCGTCGAGTCTCAGGTCTGCACGCACGAAATGGGTACTGAAAGAATGGGTACGATGCCCAACAGCGGATCCTGTTCAGTTTGAATAGGGCTCGCTGTCCACGCCGCCGCGGCCTGTGTCCATTCGAGACAGGAGGCCGCCTGCCCAACAGCGGCCGCTGTTGGTTTGGGACAACATTTGCTGTTGGGCATAGTACCCATTTTTCGGTACCCATTTCGGACGTCCAAATCAGGGGCGATGTCGCCTCCCACCGGGAGGCCGTATGCCGCACACCAGGTCGACGTTGTGGAAACAAGGGCGCCGTTCGGGGAGTCGCAGGGCTCGAGCTCGCCAGAGCTCGTGTTTGCCGATCCTTGTGGACGAGGTGGTCCAGTTTTCGTGGGGTGCTTCCAGCACGAGCTCGCGTCAGATTTCAGACTGGGTCTCGTCGTTTCCGTGACGGTTCCTCCAGGCCAACCCGAGTCCTCCGAACCCGAGTTTTATGTTTCCCCCAGTTGCGTGCCCTCTCACGACCTGGCATCGCTCGGACGTGTGCATTTTTCCTTCGGCGAGGACCATCGAGGAGCATCCTTGATCATTTTGCGAAAAAAACTACGCACGAAACCGAAAAAAACACAGGGAATGGACGTCCGAGCGATGGCGAGGGAGGGTGCCCGAATGTTCTGCGTGTTCGTTGGGTTTTCTTGTGCATCCTGGGGAGGGTACCCTTGCATGGCTCTGTGTGTTTGGGCTGGCGGAGGGTCTCATGTTGTTTGGGGGATGTTCTTCTGGCCCAGGTCCGACTCTGTGTGTTTCGCTTACGACCCTCCCTGCTCGATGCCTTCGCCGCAGCTGCCTCGCGCCTGCTCCATACGCTGTGCTTTGCGCTCGTGCACCAGTGGGCGGGTCCTGATCTGCTGGCGCCCTGGGCGTACCGAGTCGGGGAGCTGAGCGTGCCGGCGGCAACATGGCACCCAGGTGCCAGATGCTCTGTTTTCAATCGGCGGCGAGCGAGGGGGGGAAGTGAGAAGGGGCGGGCCTCCTCAGAAGGCTCGGAAGCCCCCCGCCTTCTGAGAAGTTCTGTAAGCCCTCCTGGAACACACAGAAAACATCTCAGAGGGCGCGAGGGTTTCTGAGAGGTCTCGCCGCCTTCTGAGAAGGCCTTCTCCTTCTCACTTCCCCCCCTCGGTCGCCGCCGAAAAAACAATCATCAGAGCGAGCGCGTCTAGTGGAGGTGAGCGTTGGGCGGGCTACGTGTTGGGCCGGGTCTCCATGGCGATGGACGCGTATCTTCTTTTGTTTGTGGAGGAGTGACAGGCCGAAGACAGGGGCGGCAGTTTGTTTATCATTGGGCCATATCGCCCTACATGGGGTTGTCTCGGGAGCGTGGTCCGCAGGGCCTGTCCGAATCGGGTTGGGTAGCGAATGGATGGATGAGCATCATTGGCAGCAAGGCTTTCTATGTCCGCACAGACGTGAATCTCAGACCTTCTTCTTGATTGCGTCATAACTGTATAAACCACGTCTGTCCCAGTGGTCTCGACCCACTCCCCGGGTCCAGTTTTTCATCCCCAGTCGTTTTATGGACGGTCCAGAGGCCCGGCGATAGCCCCAAGGGACCGCACATGGCGTGGAGCTGGAGGAGCATGGAGGAGGAGGAGGAGGAGGAGGAGGAGGAGGAAGAGGAGGAGGAGGAGGTGGAGGATGAGGAGGAGGAGGGACGAGGAGGAGGAGGAGGAGGGAGGAAGGGGGAGGACGGCGGAGGAAGGAAGAGAGGAGAGGAGGGGGGAGGAGTGGCGGCCAAGAGAGGAGGAGGCAGAGCTGCCACTGATGGTGATTGAGCTGCGGAGAACCTGGGGTGGAAATGCAGGTGGGATACCCAGGGAGGAGGGTCGCGTGAGGAGCGAGGCACGCAGAGCATGCTCGCCGCCGATGCTCCTCGCCCAGCCTGCGAGGTCGCCCGCGGCAGATCGCACGTGCCCCTCGGAGCGGGGGTAGCAGGCCTGCGGGCGCCGAGGCGCAGCGCGGAGGGCCAGCTGGAGCGCATCCGGCCGGAGCGGATCCAGGGGAGGCTCAGCCCCGGACTCCCTTTGGCGAGCCAGGAGAGAGTCGTGTCGGAGGCTTTGTCGCTACCTTGTTGCCCTGGGGGGGGCCCTTACGGTCAAAACTCCGAAGAAGGACGCATGGCTGTCCTTGGGGTGCCCTTGCGCGTTCTAGCCTCTGCGGCTCGTCCCTCGCGGTTTTCATCGGCCAGCCCTTCAGGGTGCTGGCAGTCCGCTGCCCAAAAAGTGCCAGCTTCGGCGTCCAAGGCCCTGGCGTCCTTACCGCCCGCCCTTCCTGTAGATTCCGACTGTGCTGGGCCTCGGGGCTGCTAAACAACGATGCAGGATGAGACGCCGGTCCCGGGGAAGGGGTAGAGACCTCTGGGGGTCAACGGTATGACAAAGAACATGGCGTCGGGTGTCTGAGGCCGGAGGCAGCAGGAGGTCTGGGCCTGGAGGGGTCCATTTCGAGCACAGCTTTGCTTCTGGTGCCGCCATGGCCGCGCCTGGTGGCACGCGGGCTGGTTCGAAGCTGAGGGCGGCGGATGCGGAGGAGGAGGGCGGCGGAGGAGGAGGAGGAGGAGGAGGATAACGTGGATGGGGAGAATTGGACGGCGGAAGGCGAGGAAGGGGATGAAGAGGAGGAGGAGGAGGAGGAGGGGGAGGAGCTGAGGGAATAGGAGGAGGAAGAGGAGAGGGAGGAGAGAAGAGGAGCACGATGACGGGGAGGTGGAATGGGAAGGGGGGACAGTGGAAAGAGCAGGAGGAGGAGGTGGATGAGGTGCGACAGGAAGTGGCGGTAGGAGGGGAGGGAAGTGTACATGGGTGAGCTTGACCAGCCGTAGCCGCTTTGACTGAGTTTGCACCCACTTTTCTCGGTCGCCCAGGGACTTCTTTTTGGGATGTGTTATGCAAGTCCCGGACCCTCCATGGAAAACTCTAGGCGGATTGCGTCCACGGCTCGATCTGCAGACATCTGACTTGGTATGCATCAGACCGCAGTCGTACCGTCGCCACGGTGCAGAGCATGGAGGTGCCGCCAAGCACCACAGTCTCGCCACGGCTCGCCGACGAAGTATTAGGTGCGTCCAACTGTGCCTGTTGGTTGGAGCGCCCGAAGGCCAGCATGCACAGGGGTGACAAGGTTTCCATTGCGTTGTCGGAGCCATTTCTACCGACCTACGGTTCTTGACTGGCGGTTGCTACCCAATCCGAGGTGTACGCCTGGATGTCATACACACAGTTCTGTCGGTCGATCTCGAGCTCATTGCCTGGCTTTCTGCCCATGGCCACGTTGGACGGATTGGGGCATAAAGCGGAGAGACCATGTCAAGAGCACCATTTGTCGTCGAAGCGGCGGTTCGGCAGATCACCGGCCAGGAGGTTGGCAACCAAGCGTTCCAGAAGGTGTTCAGTGCCCACTCCAGCAATGGCCTCCTCGGCGAGAACACGTTCAAGAGCGTGATCCGGAGGGGGTGGGGAATGGCGGGCGGAGCCACGCGGGCACATCAGGGAATGTTGAGGGGGATGGTAATGAGAGTACATACGGATATTGCCTGCCCAGTCGGTCTTACATTTCTATTTGCCCACATCCCTCTTCGTGCTACAGCGCGGCCGACTACAATCGCTAGTGTTATGCAACTCTATAACCTCCAGCCAAATGCCGAATGCTGGTGTCTTACTGCGCCTCCTGCAGGTTGAGGTACAGCTTTGGACGTCTCTTGCGCTCGTTGGCTGAGTTATGCGTCGCGGGCTGTCGTCACGAATTCGCTACCTCGGCTCCCCGCATTTTGTTTGCCTGCCTCGGCGTTGCCTCATTTCTCCGTCAAGCCAAGCCGCCTTTTCCTAGCTTCCCCCCACTCGCTCGCCAGGGCGTTTATCTATCGGGGGGACGCAGGGTTGGGGTTGGAACGCCTGTGGCTGGTAGAGGGGATCATCATATAGTTCCGACAGATGTAGAATCGAAGGAGGGCACCAGCGGCGTGCTCAGTGTGTTCGGTTGTCCTGCCTATATGCCACCCTTATGATTATATCTCTAGTTCTCTTCCTATGTCTGCCTCTATGTTTTGTCTCTCTCTCTCTCTCTCTTTAGCTCTATTTCTCCCTCTCTCTCTCGCTCCCTGTCTTACGAGGTGCGTCTCACGAGGTGCCTCTCACTTTCGAAATGCGACGCGATGCGTGTCACGTAGCAAGACGTCAAGATGACCACCGGGCTCGGTAATAAGTCTCGCCACTTCCTAGAGTCCTTGAGCACTGTTGCGTGAATGTTGTATTCTCGCCCCCTACAATAACGACTTTCGCGTCGTCATCTTGGTAAGATGCGTCTCAGCAGCCCGTGGGCAGGTTCGAAACCATTCACCATGCCATTTGATTATGATCCTGGAACATGTATATGGCCAAGGCACAATCATCATTAGACCGTATGCGAGAGGACACGATGGCAGCGGGAACTCTCAACATGTTATCCACATCAGTTGCGGTGCTTCTCGCTCGCGCATCGCTTCATCGTACACTGGTCAGCAAGCTGGTCTCCTGCACACCCTCTTGCTTCACTCCCTGCTTTTCAGTGTACTGCTCGACCGTGTCCCCCCCTTCCTCGTCACGCTATCAACTACGGCAACGTAATCACCAGTCGGCTTCTCAACCTGTTCCTGCTCCTGTGCTTGAAGAGAGCCTCACAGATCGTGACCCCGCTCATGCACACGATCCTCTTGGGCAGGCTGCTGACCGCCTGTCCTCCCCGGAGAGCAGGAGAGCGCTGATGAGCAGGAAGTCGGGGGGCCGACGGGAGGACGCTCGGAGAGAGGACGGTGGCGAGGCCGAGGAGACGCGAGCGCCAGGGACAGACCAGTGGAGGGGCCAGGCAGTTCGAGCCCTCCATCAAGAGCGACCAGCTGACCAGGCGTCTGTTCTGTCTTCCTGAGCGAGCTTCTGTGGCAGAGATTGTGGACCTTTTTGTGCGTCAACGATCTGAGGCTGTTTGGGAGCCTCTTGGAGCGACTGCGCCGTCACGACTGTACTCCCATCGATACTCTGGCCAGAACTCACCACGGGAGAGGCCCTGTGGCCGACTCCCCACCCTGGAGCCCGGCGCGAGGAAGCGAGGCGAGGAAAGCGAGGCGGCGGAGAGGAGTGGGACAGGATGTCGTTGGCGCGCATGGCCGCCTCGGGATGGGGGGGGGGCCAGCGCCGACGACAAGAAGCGCGCGCTCCCCCCATGATTCCCTCTTCCTCCTTCTCCTCCTCCTCCTCCTCCTCCTCCTCCTCCTCCTCCTCCTCCTCCTCCTCCTCCTCCTCCCCCTCCTCCTCCTTCCTCCTCCTCCTCCTCCTCCTCCTCCTCCTCCTCATCCTCCTCCTCCTCCTCCCTCCTCCTCCTCCTCCCTCCTCCTCCTCTCCTCCTCCTCCTCCCTCCTCCTCCTCCTCCTCCTCCTCCCTCCTCCTCCTCCTCCTCCTCCTCCTCCTCCTCCTCCTCCTCCTCCCCCTCCTCCTCCTCCTCCCCTCCTCCTCCTCCTCCTCCTCCCTCCTCCTCCTCCTCCTCCTCCTCCTCCTCCTCCTCCTCCTCCTCCTCCTCCTCCTCCTCCTCCTCCTCCTCCTCCTCCTCCTCCTCCTCCTCCTCCTCCTCCTCCTCCTCCTCCTCCTCCTTCTCCTCCTCCTCCTCCCCCCTCCTCCTCCCCCTCCTCCTCCTCCTCCTCCTCCTCCTCCTCCTCCTCCTCCTCCCTCCCCTCCTCCCCCTCCTCCTCCTCCTCCTCCTCCTCCTCCTCCTCCTCCTCCTCCTCCTCCTCTCCTCCTCCTCCTCCTCCTCCTCCTCCTCCTCCTCCTCCTCCTCCCCTCCTCCTCCTCCTCCTCCTCCTCCTCCTCCTCCTCCTCCTCCTCCTCCTCCTCCTCCTCCTCCTCCTCCTCCTCCTCCTCCTCCTCCTCCTCCCCCTCCTCCTCCTCCTCCTCCTCCTCCTCCTCCCTCCTCCTCCTCCTCCTCCTCCTCCTCTCCTCCTCCTCCTCTCCTCCTCCTCCTCCTCCTCCTCCCTCCTCCTCCTCCTCCCCTCCTCTCCTCCTCCTCCTCCTCCTCCTCCCTCCTCCTCCTCCTCCCCCCCCTCCTCCTCCCCCTCCTCCCCCCTCTTCCGAGCCTTCGGCGCCTTCGGCGGGCAGACCTCGAGGCCCCCGGCTCCAGTGCGAGGGCCCCGCGGGGCGGCTCTCCCGCGGGGCGGCTCTCCCGCCTGCCGGTCTGCGCTCTCGCCCCGCGCACTGCTCCTCGGGGCGCCGCGGCGGCGACTGCGACGGCCAGGGCGCGGGAACAAAAAAGGACCGCTCGGGGCTCGGGAGGGGGCATCGATCGGGAGGGGGCAAAAACACACAGACACAATTCATCGTCGATCCTCAGGAAAAAAGATGGGAAAGCATGGGAAATGGGGGGGGAAGACGGAAACCCAGAAAATATGCGAGAATATGGTGAATCCTTTCATTTGTATGTATTGATTTGTGTGTCCCAGGGCTCCTTCAATCGAGGTGGTCGGGCGGTTCCTTACAGTTTTTTTGTTTGATTCGCGGGTCGAGAGCGCACCTCTTCCGGTCGAGAAGCTAAGCGGGCCGCGCGAAGGTTGAATTAACAAAGAGGGGGGGACAGAAGGAGAGGCCTCACGTCAAGGCCAGGAGGAGGCAAAGCCTCGGGATCAGGCGGTGCCGAAGACGATGTGCTTGCAAAGGAACGCCTTGGACAGGAACCCGGTGGCGAAGTACCGGAAGAAGCAACATGCTGTGGTTGGTGGTGCCGCGGGCGGTTCCTTACAGACAACCCATATAGCAAGGATGGGCAACGTTCCAAAGGGTACCTTTGCATCCTCGCATCCCTGGTCCAACCTTGGCTTACCTCCGTTGGCCGCGCCCCGCTCGAAGAGCTTGGGAACGGCCTTCCAAGGCCCTCGCATCTTTATCGAGCATCCTTACTATACGGGTTGAGTGTAGATGTAGCCCGAGCCTCGTCACGGCGCCAACAATCGCACAGCGGAGCTCGATTGGAGAACACTGGGCAGGGTGTCCTGGAGAATGTCGCTCCGGATTTCGAAGTCCAGGAATGAAGACCTAGAATACAAATCCACATGCAATTCAGGTCGTTTGTCGCTTGCCACTTCGGGGTTGTGCATTGACAGAAATCCGCGCAAAATCCGCTGCAGCACGTCTGCAAGGTCGGTGCAGTCAGACTCGCCGCGGCTAGAAAAGCCCCTTCGTTCCTCGCCCAATGCGCACGATGACTGTGCGCTGTTGTTTGTCTCAGCGGCGCTGGCTGAAACTTCGGCCGAACCAGGGGGTCAGTCATTGAGACGATGCCGCTTTCTTGTGGAGGGAGCGAGGGGGGCTCCAGGGGTCGGCCAAACTTGGGGCCCAGAGGGATCCCATGACCCTCGTGTGCTCCTCGCTCTCGCCCCCAGCGCGACTACTGCCGACGTAGAGAGTTGGGCCCCCCCCGCGCGCAAAGATTTGATGACAGGAATGCTGGCCTCAGCCCTCTGCCGTCCGTCCCCCGCCGTCTTGCCCTCCTCTCTTGCTCCGTCGCCACCGTCGTCTGCATCAGCCAGTCCTCTCCCCGCATCTCCCCTCGTCGGGTCACTCGGCCTCTTGCTCGGCAAGGCCCTTGATGTGATGGAAGTTGTTGTTGTTTTTGTGCGCGGGCTGATTGACGGATTGGGACTGGAAGTTAGTTCGGGACAGTGTTGATCCCACCGCGGTGGCCACTGCTGAGACTTATGCCATCTTCATCGTCGACGCCACTGACGTCGTCATCGTACTCGCACGTTTATGCTTGTCAATCCTTGCCAGCATCAGTATGCACCTTTCTAACACTACCAATACTGTGACGGCTACGACTGCTACGACTACTGCTCCTACTACTACTACTACTACTACTACTACTACTACTACTACGACTACTACTACTACTACTACCACCACTACTACTATTACTATTACTACTACTAATCATAATAATATTATTACTACTATTACTATTACCACCACCACTACGACTACGACTACGACTACGACGACTACGACTACTATTATTACTACTACTACGACTACTGCTACTACTACTACTACTACTACTACTACTACTACTACTAGTACTGCTATTACTACTACTACTACTACTACTACTACTACTATTACTACTACTACTACTACTACTACTACTACTACTACTACTACTTCACTACTACGACTACTGGTAATATTTCGATGGCTACTATTACTACTACTACTACTACTACTACTACTACTACTACTACGACTACTACTACTACTATACTACTACTACTACTACTGCTACTACTACTACTACTACTACTACTACTACTACTACTACTACTACTGCTGCTGCTGCTGTTGCTGCTACTGCTGCTGCTGCTGCTACTACTACTACTACGACTACTACTTCTACTACCACTTCTGCTACTACTACTACTTCTACTACTACTACTACTACTACTAGTTCTAAGAGTAGTCGTGGTAGTAGTAGTAGTAGTAGTAGTAGTAGTAGTAGTAGTAATAGTAGTAGTAGTAGTTCGACGACGACGACGACGACGACGACGACTACTACTACTACTACTACTACTACTCCTACTACTACTACTACTACTACTACTACTACGACGGCTACTACGACTACTACGGCGACTGCGGTTACTACCACCACTACCACATCT